AGAATTCTCCAGCCAGCATAGCTATGCTGGCTGGAGAATTCTGGGAGTTGAAGTCCACAAGTCTTAAAGTCGTCAGGTTTGGGGGCCCGTGTGCTAAACTATGTTGCCTAATGTTCCAAAACCAATAGCAGGGCTCCATGGGGTGGAAAGATTGATCAATGCACAAGGAAAAAGGCATGCAAAGTCGCATCTTGATCCTAAGTTGTTTGTGTCCTAGAGGTGAGAGAGGAAGATTGTTGGGTGTCTAGCTAAATGAGGTAATAATAATAATAATAATAATAATAATAATAATAATAATAATAATAATAATAATAATAATAATCCATCCATCTCCTATTTTCACAATGCTGCTACCTCTTCAGGGCCTCCCCCAATGGGCTTCTGGGATTGGCCGTCCAAAGAGCTGGTTGGCTCCATCTATTTAGGTTTGAGTTCCACATTCTAGAGCAGTGATGGTTAACCTTTTTTGGTGTCGTGCGCCGAAATGCAATGTGTGTGTGACACCTCCGCTGACTGCCCCTCTGTGCATGCGCGCATGACCCACCCTGCTCTCCCACCCGCGCATGCACGAGCGACCCCTCCCGCATCCCATTTTGTGCCTAGTAGGTCTTTCTGCAACTTCCTGGAAGCAAAAACAGTCCACAGTGGGATGGGAGCGCTGCACTGCCCATGCTCTGTGTGCACATATGCACATGAACCCCTGACCCCCCCCATGCATGCACATCTCCTGCATGCGCCCCCCGTGCGTGCATGGCAGACCTGAAAATCACCTGGCCGGGGGGAGGCCTGCGTACATGCGCGGTGCAGCTGAGCTGGGGCGATGGCTCGCGTGCCCACAGAGGTCTCTGCATGCCACAGGTTTGCCATCACGGTTCTGGAGCATTGAATTATTCCTACTCCTGTAACTTTTCTGTAAAAGTTCTGTAACTTTTGCAACTGTGGACTGTGGATGAATTCTTCTTGTTATTTGGACCTTTGTTGGTGGTTAGGATCCTATATATGTCAACGGAGCTCTGATGGATTTTAATGGGAGTTCTTGCAATAATTCCTCTCTCTCGAAATGGACCTTCTGGAATTTGGATGGAACAGACTCTGCTGGCAAACTGCATTTTTCTCAGATCCATGGCTTGCTGTTCTCATGCTGATGGGACAATCCCTCCCCTCCCCCCCGCATTTTTAACTCTCAATACTTTAAAATATATATTTAAATTTACAACAGCTGTAAAAAATAGAAGTACAAATCTTTCATTTTCCCCTCTCCTAATTGTTCTTGAAAATAAGACCCTCCCCCCCCAAAAGGTTCCTTTTCCTTTCCTTCTTCTGCCCCCCTAAAAGGCAAAAGTCACCCATACATAGCAACAGCACTTAGACTTATATACCGCTTCAAAGTGCTTTTATGGCCCTCTCTAAGCGGTTTACAGAGTCAGCCTGTTGCCCCCAACAATCCGGGTCCTCATTTTACCCACCTTGGAAGGATGGAAGGCTGAGTCAACCTTGAGCTGGTGAGATTTGAACTGCTGAACTGCAGCTAGCAGTCTGCCGAAGTAGCCTGCAGTTCTGCGCTCTAACCACTGCGCCACACAAGATGCAATGAGCAGGTTTTAAAACTTTCTGTCCCTTATTTTCATAGAACAAGTAGAATTCTTGAGTTTTCAGTCTCCGAGGCAACAGAACAAATACACTCCTTTTATATTATGGGTGTTTTCGAAAGGCACATGTCAACGGCAGGTGTGTATGTCTGTGTGTTTGTGTGTTAAGCCAAAGTTCTGGGCTGCAAAACTCCCAACGATGCAGAAATTTAAAAATCACCTTGGATGCCCTCAAGGGAGTTGTCTAAATTTACGGCGCCCAGATCTTGCACTGTATTGGTGCGTGTCCTTTGCGTGTGTTTGAGTGCAACATTAATTCATTGATCTGCTTTGCAAGAGAATTGAGAGCCATGCTGTGGCAAAGCATTTAAAAGAAAAAGAAAAAGGAAAGTAAATAAAAATATTGACCTTCCGTTTGCATTATTTCCTTTGAGGCCTACTCCTGGGCTTGTAACCACACTCAATAGCGATGGTAATAATATTACCCGGAAACAGGGTGTTTCGTTTCAATAGCCAAAAAAGAAACACGAAACGACATGGCACGGCAAGCTTTTGCTTGCAGGCTGTAACCCGCGTGTACATCCCCCCCCACATCCCGCAGGAAGAACCAGAGAGGGTTGTTTTTGGCCTTGTCAGGATCCTTCAAAAGAAAAGACCGTGATTGGAATAAAGCTTTTTTCTGAGGTAATTTTGAAATCAAGAGGGTGTTTGCAAATCCCTGATCTCTTCTGCCTCCCCTGCTTTCTTTTTTTTTTGTAGACACTGAAAACCGAGTCATCCTGACGAACGGAAAAGGAATCAAAACATTGGTTACAAAGAGGAGAGTCTCGAATAAGGACATTCCTTTCCAAATTGGGCGTTTTTTTCCCCTACGCTGTCAAAACTCCGAAGCCGTATTTGAGGGGGCCTTTCAAAAGCTGCCTGCTAATTGCAGCTTGCAGTTCTCCGAAGCTTTCTCGGCTGGGACCTGACAGACCGCCCACTCCGAGACTCCATTTATTTGAAAACATTTGCCTTTCCTTCTCGTCAAGAGATCACCGCTTGTTCGACAGCCAGGGTCATCTGCCCTTGAAGAGACGTACTTTGGCCGCGGAGGCAAGGATATGCGTCACGTTGGCTTCAAAGTCCCCATCATGGACGCCGGTTTGACGAAAGGCTCCCGCAGAAGGATTGTTCTCCCAATAGTGGTGCCAGTTGCCTTTACTGTCTGCCCCAAAGCCGTAGAGATCCACCTATGGAGAAAGAATCATCATCATCACCTCCTTTGAATAACCCCATAATCCCTAGCAGGGTGGAATCTGGGCAATTGAATAGAGCTGAGTGTTTACTGGCTGGATGCCTTTCCCTGTCGCCAATGCGGAGTTTTATTCAGCAGATAAATTCTCAGTGTGCCCAGAGAGAGAACTATCTGCCTCTACCTTGGATTGAACTCACAGCCTTCTGACTTTCACCTATGGAGAAAGAATGGATAATGGGGGGAAAAAGAACTCTGCAAGGTTTGGTTCTTAAGTGGATTTCATTTTCCTTATATCTAATATTTCCATCAATCTTAGAGCATACAATAATAGAGTTTTAAGGGACCTTGGAGGCCTTCTAGTTCAATTCCCTGCTCAAGTATATCATTTCAGACAAATGGGTTGTGCAGTTTCCTTTTGAAAGCCTCCACTGATGGCGCACCCACAACATCTGAAGGCAAGCTGCTCCATTGGTTGATTGCTCTAACCGCTAGGGAATTTTTCCTTAGTTCCAGGTTGCTTCTCTGCATGGTTAGTTTCCATCCGTTGTTTCTGGTGCTTTGGAAAGTAGTTTGACCCACTCATCTTTGTAGGAGCCCCTCAAATACTGGCACATTGCTATCATGTCTCCCCTAATTCTTCTTTTCATTAGAGCAGGGGTGTCCAAACTTGGGAACTTTAAGACTTGTGGACTTCAACTCCCAGAATTCCCCAGCCGGCTGGCTGGGGAATTCTGGGAGTTGAAGTCCACAAG